TATAGTCTTTTTTAGGCATCATTAATTAAGCAAGTTAATCATGGAAAGTCTGAAGATGACTTTGCAATGTAGGAATTATTACACCACACTAATCACACAATTAAGGTTTCTGTATAAACTGCTGATAAACAGCATTCAGTGTTCATTCTAAAATAGCAACACCATGACCATCGTCATGGTGTAGTGGATATTGCTGTGAGGTGGGCAGAGCCACTGTGTTCTGGACAGGATCCATACTTCACACATATCTTCATATATCTTTCATATCTTCAGCCTGCATGTTGAAACACTTTGGATGCTCTCACCAAAAAACCACAGAAACGTAGGTAAGTAAGACTTTAAGATAACTTTCTCATTTATGTTTACAGGCAATTATGTCTGCTAAAACCTGTGTTTTTGTTTAATAGTACAACACTGCTTAATCGAAATATTAGCAGTTTTTCCTTTAATCAGAATCAGAAATACTTTAACTTGCTCTGTTTGGTTGATTGCATATTTCTACTAATAACTGATGTCTCCTTATGTTTTGTTGAAGAACTATCTTTTTGCTTCCTTCAACCATTCTCATTTATTTTTTATTTTTTATTAAAATTTACCAAGTTAAAGCTTTGATGTGTATATTTCCAAGAGATTCCTTCCCATACGATTTGGTATAAAAGTATACAAATATAAGTTCCTCTGCTTACAATGGTGTCTTTGCATTGATCTGGTGCAACAAAACAACTATATTGTAGTTCTTGCTTTGTCTTTTATGCTAACAGCTTTACTGTGTGCCCAGGTCTACATATTTGTTTTTCTCTCTGTTTTTCTCTATGTTTCTTTTGCAATTACAGAATTGTTGCAACAACCTAATTGATTAATGAACCAAAACTTAGCCCTAAATGAATAATTCCTTATTGATCCTTATTGATACAGCTAATATTTACACAACTACATACATACCTCTCAGAAGAGCCCAGTCGTCCCCTGACACTGGCCTCCCTGCAGCAAGTTGGTTTGTTTTGATAAGAGATTGAAGGTGGTGAGGTCACCATTTCGACTCCTTATCTTTACAGCCATTTAAAGGGTAGGTTCCCCGTGCCGGCTATTTAACATGTTTTTACGTGGACACGTGGATTTTCGTCATTGCTTTGGTGTATTTCCCCATTTTACAGTTTCATTCTATGAGGTGACTGAAGGAAACTGCTGCTGTCAAAGAGAATATACTCATTAACACTGTGGCTTTATGTTAAATGGCATTACAAAAACAAACATCAATTATTGATAGTAACATCTGTACAATTTTCTAAAATAAATTCAAGTAAAATTCAAATATTTAACATATTATTTCAAAAAACTTGAAATGCAAAAATAGATATAACAGATGTAATGTAATATGAAATATAGGTTTGATTGCTTGTGTACTTACAAACTAATTTGTAGGCTACTCAAAATTAAAATGACTAAAATATCAAGTAACATTACACAATTATTTTTTATAAACATCTACATTGGCTGAACCAGGGGTTCCCAAAACTTTCTAGTCAAGGACCCCCACAATAGATACACATTAGACAAAAGGATTTTGTCTTAAAGGTCCAGTGTGTAACATTAAGGAGGATCTATTGGCAGGAACGGAATATAATATTCATAGGTATGTTTTCCTTGGTGTATAATCATTTCAAAATAAGAACGTTAGGTCCAATCTGCAATTACACCACTAGATGTCACTAAAGTCAACACACTGGACCTTTAAGGAATCCCTCTGGGTCTTTTTTTTAGATTTGACAATTACAGTATTCATTGTAAATCATTGATCAAACAAGGATCACTATAAATTACAATCAGTCAGCCAACTCTTTTTCTTCTTGAAAACCACTGGACTAAAATTCTTTAGCCAAAATTAAAAAGTCATGATTTTCTATCAAATACATTTTTTCTTCTTTAGTTTCACAGTTGAACACATATCTGTCTTAAAATACTGCTTAACTTAGTCCCATATTTCATTAGATAATATATATATCAATCTAGTGCTTTTTCTTAGTGGAGCATCCTTTACCAAATGAGCCATCAGAGGGCGTCATCTCACAATCTTCTTTTAAAGACTCATTCATTATTGACAATCCAGGGTAAATATTTTTATATTGTCTGCATGACATGTTCGATTGGGTAGACTATTTCATTATTCATTCACTACATGTGAGTTATTGATAGAAGATAGAATGAAACATAAGCGCACTGTAGAGCAATCATCTTAAGATATCAAGATTATAATTTGGTTGACTTTTCTCAATGTACGTGTGTGATGAAGTGAAAAAAGGTAGATGTGTTTCATGCATGAGGTTTATGTCTTCCAAATAACTGTGTCTTAAACTGTGTAGATGTAATTACTCAAAAAAACACACGCAACAAGTGGCATTATTGGAGCAATACCTGGGGGACAGACAGAAAGAGGGGTCAGAGAGAATAGATAAGAGATTATATCGTGCGTAAGAGTGTGTGCATGTGAGTGTCAAAGCCACCCACCGATGAGTTCATGGGGATGGGGTTAATCTGTCTACTCAGACAGCCGTGGCAGTGAATAGGCTGGGAGGAGGAAAGAACCACGTAATCTGATGTCCCGCCTGCCGCTCACCCGAGCCAGCAATGGTCAGGACTGGGGAGGGTGTTGCTCAGGATAGCTGCCCTAAATGGATTACAGGACAGCACATGTCAGTGAAAGGGCGTCTGGACACGCATACACATATACCTACACACTCACACACAGTACACGCAGGTGCACAAGTGCAGGAGATTAGAAGTGCATTTTTCACCCCCTGCAAGGAGCTTAAACTCATTACCAGCTGAGAGAGAGAAAAGGTGTAGGAGCGGCTCTGCATCTTTGTCATTTTGCAGTCTCTCAATATTTGAATCCTTCCTACCCTTTGACCTTTCACGGCTGTCATTGGCTAACAGCTAAATGATTCCCTTTTCTTCCAGATATCTCTTTCATTGAGGTCTGACTTGAGTATCAGGTGCCCAAGAGCTGCTTCAGCAGGAGGATGGAGTCAAAGGCAGAAGAAGAGTCTCAGGCCCAGGCTCCAGACAACACCCAGGTCGGGACTCTGGACACACCCGGGTTTGAGGTAACCGCCGACAGGCTGGAGCAGCTGATGAAGAGCATGGAGGTGCTGCTGTCAGACGTGGAGCAGCTGCGGAGCCACTGCAGCCACCAGGCCACTGAGCTGATGCGTGCGGCGGTGGACTTGAGGGAGCAACAAGAAGAGCTAAAGGAGAGCTATTCAAATTTGTCCCGAGAAATGCAGGAGATCATGGATTCAGTGGACGACCTGTTCAGCACCAAGAGTGCCTTTGAAGCCAAAGAGAAGCAAGCACAGAAACTGAACCGGCAGCTCTGAGGGACAGAAAGTGTCTGACAGACTTTTGTTTCTCTTTGAGGAGAAAACCAAAACTGTGGGGGGTGTGGTTTTGGATTTGGATGTGTGAGTCAAAATTTTAATTTGGGTTTGGAGGATGTGAGGTTTTCATGGCTTTGAAGCAACGCTTTAATTAGATTCTTAAATGGTATCATAGAAACATTTTGTTGTGCAACTTTTAGGTCTGTATCTGACAACCTGGATAATTCTGTATCACAACACTTAGTCCAGTAAATATAATACAATGCATTAAAGGACCAGTGTTTAACATTTAGAATGATCTATAAATGAAACATAAATTCATATGGTGTGTTTTCATTAGTGTGTAATCACCTGAAAATAAGAATTGTTGTGTTTTCGTTACCTTAGAAAAAAGCGTTTTTATCTAAAGGGGGAGCGGGTTCGCTTCAATGGAGTCTGCCATGTTGAACCACCATGTTTCTACAGAAGCCCAGAATGGACAAACCAAACAATATTCTAACTAGGGCCTTTTGCATTTTTCATGAGTTTTCCAGCTACCGTAGTTTCTCCTGCACGTTTGGAAGGCTGAACTGTATTCAGTTAGTTGCAATCTACAACATCAACGCTAGATGCCACTAAATCCCACATACTGGTCCTTTAAGGCAACAGAAATAGACATAAAGTTGAATCAACAACTCTCTGTCATAATTTTAATAAAACTTTAACATTGTGAGCTTAACAAGGTTACAAGTTGTTGCATTGCTTTCATTCTAGATTGCCATGTGCTGCAGTCTTTAACACAGACGATGACAAGAGGTCCAGTCTGCGCTGCGTGTCAACAAATGATTTACTATCACTTCTACTGACAAACACACACACACACACACACACACACACACACACACACACACACACACACACACACACACACATCACAGCTATGATTTCCCATCACCAAGGTATTCTAGGTTGACAGTTAAATATATACGTTACTCTCTTCAGCCTGGATGTCTCCTCCAGCTTTAGTGACGGCTATTGGTAAATCTTCCACATTCTCTTTCCAACCCACTGTGGTTTCTCGCTAAAATAAACCCTAAATAGAGCCTTAGGGTGATCTTTATCTAACACCAGCTCCTCTTCTGTGACTTATTGGTCTGTATTTAGTGGTTATGGGATGTGTGAAAGGGACATTCAGTGGGCAGCAACCTGAAAAAAATCAATGGTAAACTTTACGATCTCTTTCACCTCAAATCTAATTTTAGCGGGCTTCTCGTGTAAAGGCTTAACGGATAATGTTGCATTAACATTTGCAATTTATGTATGCAACCATTAAATTGTGTATGTTTAAGTAATGTCTTTGTTTTCTTCTGTATTGGAACAAACTGTGATTTCACTCAGTTGTTGCACAAAAGCACTTTTTAAAAAATGATTTCTTCAACACAAACACATTGCTGCTGATGAGAAGATTTAAATAGTCTCATAGCCTGACGGTCTTAACTGCAAACACCCTGTTGCAAATAGAAGAAATAACAACTTATATTTAACGTGAAAAAAAAGAAGTGACGTGACATTTTTTTGGGGAAAAAAACAACCCCAAACGTTTCTCTGTGTGGTTGAAACCTGACACTTTTATGGGCTGTGGTGTTGGTGCGTAGAGAGGGTGAGGAGATAGAAAGCTTGGTGTCAGTGCCTACCTTCACTACTGAGGTGCACGTCCCTTTGGACGCTGGTCAGCTGGGAATTCACTTCAACAAGGTAAGACTACATAGCACCTGATGATATTTTTTATTAGCTGTTTAATCTATTCAGGTGAAACACTTTGCACACTTTAATGCATGCATTAAATTCAAAGAAATGATCAAGGATATCAAGAACTTTAGGTATCATCTGATACACATGCATGTAATGAATGGAAATACTTTGATTGAACTTTTAGTTATTTTGTTGCTATCCTCATCAGTAGTTCTGCAGTAGCTTCTGGTGAACATGAACGTACTCCAAGTCCTAGGTCTCTTACAGCTGCTGGCTGGACCTGCTTTCACTGTGAGTCTTTTAACAATAATAACAATACTGTAACATTTGAGTGCCCATGTCAGTAATACATCCTTTAGTACAGATGGAAACTGCAAGTACAGTAAAGTACAGAATGTCCAAAATCTCAAAACAAAAAAAAGTATACTTTCTAGTACAGTAGTGATGCTGCTGATTTCTACATACATTGCGCAATGTTTAGGGGACGGTTTGTGGCTAAATGTTCCAACTTCTATTTTGGTGTCTCGAGCATGCTCTTAGTGTGTGTTAGTGGTTTGTGGTGGGCTATGATATGGTGTGTGAGAGCACTACGTGTTCCAAAAGCTGAGCGAGTAGGAGTTTTACTGTTGTTGTTTTTTCAGCTGACACGGCCAACGCATGACTACTGGGGAGAGTTTGGAGCCTTTGGTCCCTGCAGTCGCACCTGTGGAACAGGAGTGGCAATGAGAACCAGGAAATGTATCACTTCAAGGTAGGACATAGAGATGCAGGGTTATCAGGGTGGGATGACCCATGATGAAAAGTAATGCAATCGTGTCACATGTTTTAGGTTTGACCAAAACCACCCTAATGCATTTAACAATAAAGAGAGAGATTTGGCTTGCATGTAGATATCATTCTTCCCTCTCACTTCCAGGACAGATGGAGGACATAACTGCATAGGATCATCTAAGTCCTTCCGAACTTGTAATACACATGTAATTATCTTAAAATTATTTTTTGCCTCTTTGTGTATTACATCCACCCACTAACCCTGCACAAATGTATCCTAAAATATGCCAACATTTTGCGTCATTGTAGGAATGTCCAGTTGGATCCAGGGACTTCAGGGAGGAGCAGTGCTCCCAGTTTGACAGAATGGACTTTCAGAGCAAACACCACTCATGGGTTCCTTATTATGGGGGTATAAAACCTATTATATACTGTCCACATTACCTGAGTCTAGGTGAAATAATACTTTCATGTATATATTGTTTTAATTTAACATCCTGGATTGACAGAGGTGTAAATTATCAATTAAAAATGAAATTAACATAATAGACATCAATTGTGAGAGCCGTTACTCTTTTTTGATTGTCTTCTTTTTCTGAGTGACTACAATAAATCTAAAACCCTGGTTCATAGCAGTCAAACCATACTAAAAATAAATGCACATACAATTTGAGGCAGGTCTGTATATATTTTATCCCATCATTTTTATGGCTTTATTTTTTGTTCTGTAGCATCCAATCCATGCGAGCTGAACTGTGTCCCAAGAGGAGAGAACTTCTTCTACCGTCACAGACCTGCAGTTGTGGATGGGACACCATGCTATGTGGGCCGCACTGATATCTGTGTGGATGGCACCTGCAGGGTGGGAATAAAACTAAGATCTAGAATATAATGGCAGACTAATTAGAGGCTTTTATTTATGAGAGGAAATTTGGCTTATCATGCTGGTTTTCAGAACAGCTCTTTCTCACACAGCAGTCTATGTTCAGTGCACAAGTAGTCTTTCACTGTTGCACACTGAGTAGTTCAGACCCTTCTCACAAGCACTTAGACACTACTTTCTGATTTTATATTACTACTCACTGTTTTTCAACACCACCTTTAAAAGTGAGAATAATTTGTCACACCCCAGATACTGATCCATGGAGAGTTTATGGGCCTGGATGACGACACTAATTCTGTGCACTCTGCTGGTCCTGTTGCTGTTGCTCCTCACCCAAGGGAGACACTCACCTACATCTACAAAACTGGTGTCTACGGCGAGTGCTCTGCAGCCTGCAATGGAGGCATGCAGTATCGCAGCGTGGAGTGTTTGACTCAGGACCCAGTGAACCCCCGTGTGGTGGAAGAGACTTACTGCATTACCCAGCGCCTGCAGAGGCCACAGAGCCAGCAGGCCTGCAACATGCATCCCTGTACTGCTGAGTACAGTGTCTCCAGCTTCAGTGTGGTTTGTACCTTACAGCAGAGAACTTTCTGACTATAATCTACATTTTGAGTACCTATTTAAAGCACTGTGCAAAATATATTTTCTATTTTGCACTGTCCAGGAGGAGTACAGGATAGAGGGGTTGTCATGGGAAACATTGAGGTTTAATATCATAAAAGCTACAAATTGTTGGTTTCATTAATCTGTGATCATGAGGTATTACATTGACTTAGTAATGGTATATTCAAGTTTTAAAGTGTAATTATTTTGCTATGGGACTGACACAATTTAAATTTCTTTGCATATGATGGTTAGTGCTCTGTGACTTGTGGCGAAGGCCAGCAGACGAGGGAGGTGTTCTGTGTGGGGTCAGGAGGTGACCGTCTGCCTGACCATGCCTGCAGTGGACTTGCGAGACCTGCTTCTGTCCAGACCTGCCGCAGACCTGCCTGTCACACACACATCACCTGGCACGTGACTGACTACGGGCTGGTAGGTGAAATGGAGCAAAGAGAGTGTTATGTCTCCTTCGTCTCGATATAGTTTACCCTCTCCTGTCTTGTTTCTGCAGTGCACTAGAAGCTGTGGTGGTGGTGTGAGGGAGAGGAGAGTGGGCTGCTTTGATACAGATTTGAACCCCTACCCAGAGGCTCGATGTGGAACAGCTAGCAGACCCATCTCTGTGGAGACATGCAATTCACAGGCATGCCCCGGATCACAAAGTGAGCCAAATTGGAACCACTTCCACAGTGGTTTTTTTGGTTTGATTGTTTGTGCTTGTTTGTATTTTAATTAATACACTTTATTTTTTAAGGTGTCCCCAGTGTGCAGGACCCAAGGACACAAGAAACCGCCATGAGAGGATTTGTGCCCCATGTTCCAGGAGAATCTTCAGGTATATAGAGCAAGTGCAGGATATTTTGATGAAATGTTACTCTCTTTCTATATGTGCTTCAACATGCAATTATTTTACATGTGCATATGTGCAGCGAAAGTAAAAAAAAAAAAAAATTCCCAACCAGTTATTTGAGCTCAGGTATTACTCAGATTACTTTTGAATGAATGCATAAAGATATAATTGCTGCTGTCTAGACCATGATTGCACTGCTTTCTTGTTGCTTTCTTGTCCCTCATTCACAAACATAAAGTGTGTCTTTTAATACCTTTCTACTGAAAGTCACATTTAGATTCTTAAAAAAAACAGCCAAACTTAACTTATACCAAATTAAATCTTAAACCTTCAAAATAGGAAAAACATATTTAAGGTATGTACAGTAGCAGTGTGCTTGTCTGACCATGTCTGAGTCTGTGTTTACTTGCCTTAGCTTCCAGACCACAAATAAACATTGCTCATGAGCCCTACCCTGCTGTGATTGGTCCTCACTGTGCGCAGTCATTGTATGGCTGCTGTCCTGATGGCTATACCACTGCCACGGGGTCCAGGAATGAGGGTTGCTCCCATGATGACTGTGTCCGCACCAGGTAACACTGCTTCCTGGATCCAATTCTTGTAACCAATACATAAATTAAACGGCATATTGGCTCAATGGAAAGTGTTTCCAATGTTAAAAAAACCCCTCTTCCTTAGGTACGGCTGTTGCTTGGATGGGGTGACTCCAGCTCAAGGATTTGGAAGGGCTGGATGTCCTGAGTACCAGGCAACTGTGGTGACTGTGGTAGGAATCACATCGGTTACTCATCTTGTTTCAATAGATTCATTTAAGTTGTTACATTTGGCAGATTTATTAAAGGGTAAACTGATTTTACAAGTCAAAACAAGTATACCATGGGAAGGGTCCCTGTCTTTGGCTCTGGAGAAGCTTTGGCAAGTCTGAGAAAATAACCTGAGTGGTGTCATAATGATGTTATCAGGGTTATCTTCGCTTTAAGTACAAAAATGAGCTGTATGAGTATAAATCGAGTATGTGGAGTTTAAAAGATGAAAGCGTTCACCAGGCGAATAAAAGATGCTATCGAATTGCATTATTGGAAGTGTTGAATCCAAAGTTTTTGGAGCATGACTAGTTCCTCCTTACCTGTTATATATTGTATATCTGCTAAATCTACTGGCTCTACAGGAGGATTTACTGTCTCTCTCTTTCTGTCTTTCTCCCTGAGCAGCACACACCATCTCCTGTCTCTCCATCCACTGGTAGCGTGTGCTTCTTGCCTCGGGATGAGGGCCCCTGTGATACTTGGAAGGTCCGCTTCTTCTATGACTCAGGTGCTCGCAAATGTACAGAGTTTTGGTATGGAAGTTGCCAGGGCAATGGAAATAACTTCATGTCCCTGGAAGCATGCCAGAGAGAGTGTGGGGGTGTGTTGAGGGAGCCCCCACCTGCACCTCGCAGAGAGACCCCAAGGAGAGTGTCACTCAGGGGGACTCTGAGGGCAAGGGCATAAATGTGCTTGCCACTAATACCTCCAAATCATGGAATAACCAGAGTGCTGCCTCTATGAAGTTAATCACATGATATTCATACACATATAGTATTTACATACAAAGGTGTATTGTAAAATGTCCCACATCCTACCTTTCATTTTAAATATCAGACTTTAAATTATAAATGATCTAGATTGCTTCACATTATAACTGACATGATCCCACCTCATGGTTCTGATTTTATTATCTGTTTGATCTTTGGCATTTTGTTTGTGATGCTCAGTATAGTTTATTTGTGCCATTCTTCTATCAGATCAGGACTATAAAATAAAATAAAATGTCATTGTGAGTAAAGCAACCCAATAAATGTTCAGCTATCCGGTAACCTTGAAAAAAACTGGTGTGGTTTCTCTTTTTCTCCATCTGCTCCTGTAATGTTTCCAAAAATGCACTTTACTTACATTTGACAATTCTTTTATTAAACTATTGGTCAGTTTTTACAAAACAAATTCCATTGGCGTAATGCAACTTAGTACATGTAGTCAAGTACTAGTCAAATACAGGTTGAGGTAATAGTATACTTTAAGATTCTCATTTTCTATTGTGTTATACTTCTATGTTATACTATTAGTTATACTAATTACATTTTATAGTTAAATATTGTACTTCCTCTACTACATAGACAGCTTTAGTTTAGTTATAAAAAACAGTATGAGGCATTGGCAGAGATTAAACTATACAATGCCATCGACCAGCTACAACAAAATACCAGCTATACATTAATGCATTAGTAATAATAAAAATCCAGTAAGAAAAAGATATTGTGATAATAAAACTGACAGCAGCATAAAAAGTACTTATACTTCTGTATTCCATGAGCTAGATTTTAATGGATTTTTACTTTGGTAAATCCTTATAAACAATTTTACAATCCTGTATTTTTAAGGCCAGACTTTTACTTTGAAACCAAAGCTTTATTTTGAAGGCACCTCACTTTACAACCGGAATAAGAGTTATTTCATTTCCCCTGATACATTTTTCCTGAAGCAGCTACATCGTACGGGACATTGAGAAGCAATAAACAACGATACTTTCTGCAGTTTTGAATCCTCCAATAAATAGACAGGGTCTGTGGTCAGCACAAATATGGTAAGAGTGTTTTCTTTTACGTTTTATGTGGTAAAAACTCGCAGTATTTTCTATGTTAGCTCATGTTAAACCATCACAGCTAAGCTAACAAGCTACGAGGCTAACGTTTACTTCTCTGTCAAATTGTTTCCCAGTTTCTTCTGTTGCTATAAACACACACTTTTAACAGTAACGTTCAAGTAACTTATCTCTGTCGTTTTGCCTAAATATGAATAAAGTTAGTGGGATATGTTGTGAGAAACTTGCTTTTACGTGAACGCTTCAGTAAATGATCTGTTGCTAAGTAATGAGCCTTTCTCTCCTGTATGAACGCCTCGGGTTTACTCTATCAGGGATAAACGCACAATAACTTAACTGATGTGGTCTGATATGAAGAGCTGGCATTACTTGTTTTTATTGAATGTTATTATTAATCATTTTTACAGTCGCACACTATTTTGCTTGTGCAACCTACCAAGAGACCCGAGGGCCGCACATATGCTGACTATGAGTCAGTGAATGAATGTATGGAAGGTGAGTCTCTTGATGATTTCCATTTATAAACCATGCTGCTGCTTTGTCTGTACCTGTGGGTGTAGTAAGTGGAGCCTAATAACATTTATCATTGGAACATTAACATTTTATTTCAACAGTACTCCTCAAGGATGCTCCCTGTCATTTGGGAGATAATGTCACTAAATATTATATACTCACTTGTTTTGTCTTTTCAAATAAAACAAATATGTGTAAGGCTATTTACAGTGTAGGATCTAAGGCAGCACAAAAGCATTTTACTGCACTTGTCTATACAGATATTAAGTATACACTGGAGTCACCACTGGCATTAATAAACCTTTTATTTTTTTTAATTCACAGATGCCTAAAGTTATTTGTTAACCAGATCAATTCATTTTTATAATTTAATTCCTTGTTATTAATATTACTTCTCCTGTCTCTCCCTTTTTAGTCAAACATGTTTTACAGTCTCTCTAATGAACCTCGTTTCATTGTTGTAAATACTGAATCGTAGACCAAGTTTATTCTTATCTATATTATTTTATTATTTTCTTTTGATGCACACTTTCGGAAATGGTTTTGCTTCCATTCAGCATGTCCTGCGCCTCTCTTCTAGGTGTTTGCAAAATGTATGAAGAGCATCTTAAGAGGATGAATCCAAACAGTCCCTCCATCACTTATGACATTAGTCAGTTGTTTGACTTTATTGACGACTTGGCAGATCTGAGCTGTCTTGTGTAAGTATGATTTGGCTGGTAAATGCCTGATTGATTTTTAAATGGAAAAACAATTTTGTATTGAATGTGTTAATCACTTCCAGTAAAAGAAACACATTTTTAATTTGTATACAGGTACAGGGCTGACACTCAAACATACCAACCATACAACAAAGACTGGATCAAGGAGAAGATTTATGTCCTGCTGCGGCGTCAGGCTCAGCAGGCAGCAAAGTAAGGGCATCAGTGAGGAGTTGTCCTGCTACACACGCTTGAAAGGAGTTTACTGTACATTGGAAAGGGAAGGGGTTTGAAAAATGTGGTACATTTTGGGCTTTATATAAGAGTGGAAGGATACCTATGTTTTTATTTGTTACACTACACTGAGTGTGGCAAATGGCTGCAAGGACTAACTTATTGATGAAGAGGAACCCCGACCTGGAGAAATGTGCCACAGATAAAAAAAAAAAAAAAAAAAAAGTGTTGGTCAAATTTTTAGTAGTGTGCTTTCATTTTCCATTTAAAATTATGTGATGATTTTTTTTTTTTTACCTTTACTGGGCAGTTGGATTTGAACATGTTGTGGATTTTGAATGCAGGCAATTATTATTATAATTATTTTTGAATAAGATAAATGTCTGCATACTGACTAACTCGTTCATTTAACTGATCCCAGGAGATTTATTTTCCGTATTTCATCTGTTATTAATATTGTTACTAGCCTACCATCATGATGTTAAGTGTTGTTTTTGTAAACATTTCATATTGCGTAGAATCTGATTTCAGCTATTCCTGTTACTGTTTTCTTTGATTCAATCAAAATAAATGTGTTTTCTGACTCTTGTCCACTTTCGCATATATAACCACACAATGAGGAATATTATTTTCCTGTTAATTTAGTGTTTTCTATAGAAATGACTGCGACGAGGAGGAGCAACTCTGTTTCCCACTGGAGATTAATAAAGCAAATCTTACATCCAAGTATGTGTCAAATGGTTAGAGTGGCTGAGTATGATGTAGAGTGGTTGGATGGTGATTTATATATACAAAAAAAAAAAGGATCAGATAAAATGATGTTGGAGGCTGCTCACCTTTTAGAAATAACATTTGTATATCCAGTTGTGGTACTGTCTCTTTAAATGTGGCGGGCTGCCCTGTTGTTGCTGTGCTGGAAACCCCGTACTGACTCTGAAGGGACCCAAGATGGCTGAATACTCACGGGGGGGGCAGTTAGCAATTATCTGAGCAAGACGTCGGGAATGAATGGCAAATAGCACTATAATGTAAAGCGTGACCTTGAAGTAATTACACGACTACAGTTTGATGGTTTGCATAATTTTCGGGATGCATGAATACCAGTGAGGAGAGAGCGGTCTCTCCGCGGCCCCGAGCCAGAACATGGCGGAGCACTTGGGAAGAAATGGCAGCTAACGCTAGCTAGCTGGCGTATTATTCAGACACAACTAGATCCACTGGTCCAAGAGGGGTAAACACGGTGTCTGCGCTCCGCAAGTGTGAAATAATGTTACCGGCGCACGGCTGTGGTTGTTTCGCTTCAAAGTGTTGTTTGACGTTGACTGTGTGGAGCGTAGGTAGTTAGCGTAGCAGCTAAGTTAACTCGTTAGGGTTTTTGCTGGCTAACGTTAACTGGCAAACCTTGCCCGCAAGCGTACACACTGTACTAATAAACAGGCAGAGTGTTTTTTTTGGGGGGCAGGCAGACAACGTAACAGTGGGGCTTATTCTTTGCGATGTCTGTCGACCCTTGTTTTTGTAGGTTAAACAACGTTAGCTAACGTCAATGCCCTCCGCGCTGTATATTAGATTGTCGTTAGCTTGCTACAATGGTCTGTAAGCTTATTTTTTTTGCGTGGCGCTTTGCCTATAACCCTGGCGAGATAAGTTTTGAGGCAGCTCTGTAAAAAAAAAAAAATCAGATATTGTAGTTGTGACTGCAGAATCGATCGGGGTGTCTTCCTGGATGCTCGTCCAGGTGTTTCCACGTTTAAGCTCTTTCTAAGAACTGTTAGCCCAGGTTGACCCCTGACGCTAGTTAGTGCTGCATTGTAGAAGTGAACAGGTGTATTAAAAAAAAAAAAAAATAAATAGAATAAAAAAAAAGTGAATTAAAGTTGTGGCGTTGCTAGGTGAAGCAGACACCGTGTAAAAGCCAACAAGGTCCGGGAGGGGGGAAACCGGTCACAGCTACCTGCAAGGATGACGGACACTCGTCGACGAGTCAAAGTCTATACCCTCAATGAGGACAGACAGTGGGATGACCGTGGGACCGGACACGTCTCCTCGCTCTATGTGGAGCGTTTCAAAGGCACGTCTCTACTGGTGCGAGCAGAGAGTGATGGTAAGGCGAATGGCATATGCCAACACAGAGACTACCAGCACCGTGACAGTTGTTCAGGAAATATTATAAGCAATACCTTCAGCACAGACTTATTTTAACTAGCTGGAAACATGCACGTAAAGCCTCACTTAACTTACCCTCCTCATGAAAAGTTGTTTCTAATCTGACAGGTTCCCTACTGCTGGAGTCCAAAATCAATCCAAACACAGCCTACCAGAAACAACAGGTCAGCATGATGCATTGCATGTGGTTTTGTGTGGATGTGGATTTTCCTTCTCTGTGTACTGATTGTATTGTAAATTGGCTTTGTTTTTCTTTGGGAAAGGATACATTGATAGTATGGTCAGAGGCTGAAAATTATGATCTGGCACTCAGCTTCCAGGAGAAGGCTGGCTGTGATGAAATCTGGGAGAAAATATGCCAGGTAACTTCAATTCTCTCTGTGTGGGTGTTTGTTTGTCTGCTCCATCTGTGCATGCATTTGATATCGAGAGTGTTTGGGTGTTCCTGGTGATCGTTTCTGTTACTTAATGTTACATCTCATGCCACTCATGTTTGTCTTGTTGTTAAGGTGCAGGGAAAGGACCCATCAGTGGACATCACCCAGGATGTGGTGGACGAGTCTGAGGAGGAGCGCTTTGACGACATGTCGTCGCCAGGTCTGGAGTTACCACCATG